GGAAGGGGGATAAAGTTCAAAGTTAAACTGCTTTAAGAGCAGACAGACACGACAAGTTGCTTAAGTAGTAGTTAGTATAGTAGACGTAGGCTTATGCCAAAAAAACATGGGTTCTATTCTGTTTCGTCTACATAACTTGAAATTTTAAGGCTAGATTCATCATTTATATGACGGGGTTGATGTTATTTGTGATCTAACAATACAATAATTTTATACTAAAGATTAAAAAGACTTTGTTTAGCAGAAGATAAAATAAGATTTTAATGATAAAATACGATATTTCTAAATATATGTATAATACAAAGGCATATAGTACAATGTGTTACGCTCCATCTGATTGGGAGAAAGGAAAATTTGAAAACAATCGAGGAAAAATTATCATGTTGATAAATCGATTACAATAGGGAAATAATTTCAGACAATTATTAAGTTTTTCTATATTTAAAATACATAAATTTACTCAAAAAAATGTAAATATTTAATTTAATATTCGAAAAATTGCTGAAGTTTTTCGTGAATTCTTAATTTCACACGAATTTTAATCGTATAAAATTTAGTTCAGGATCTGCAAATTTGATAATAAAAAAAATAACGCATTCCAACTCAGTTACACTAATTTATATTAATTTTAATCAATTATTATAAGTTAGACTTTTAAAAAAAATTGTATAAATTATACAATATGTAATATTATATAAAGGGTGGATCAAAAATCAGTTAACTGTTCTAAAGACTAAATTGTTGTCTTATTCAAATACTTAATAGTTACTTTTCATCAAGTACAGATGTACTGTACTTGTAACACACAAAACTAAACACGGGTATTGACTTTCGTGTCGTCCTGTAGTTCGTACTGTACTGTACTATACTACACCTTATATAAATTAATAAACAATTATTTGTTTAAAAAAAATACCACTCGATAAGAACAAGATCAGTTAACGTATCATTTGTGATGATTAATATTGTAACTCGATACGACGAATTGTTTAGTACGTCTATAGATACGTCTACAGATAGTATTGTTTCGACATTGTTAATTCGTGTTTTTTTTTTATGTATTTATATAGGAACTGAAGGGAATGACAGACTTTTATTTCGGTTGGTCCTATATACTAGCGTGGATAGGAGTGGGGATGAGTCTCCTGACGGGCATTCTCTTCTTGTGTGCAGCTCGTTGCTTACGTCAAGAAAAGAAAATCGAACAAGCCAAGAATATGCAGTACTTAATGCCCGTTTATCCCGATAAAAGACAACCCTACGGATACAGTTACGCTCATCCTTATTATCCTCCAGGAACGCAATACAGCTCCTACGGTTATTAATTCTTCCATATAAAAAACATAGGAGAGACGAGAAATTCGCGTGTATATATAGTCTTACTAATGTTTAATCAGTTTTTATTTTATAAAATAACAACGTGAAAAAAAAGAGACGTCGTTTGTGTTCTTCGAAATTATTTAAATTAGTGCTTTATAAAAACCTAAGCCAAGTGAATTATTTAATAGTTTTTTTTTATGGGTGATAGTANTTCCAGAATGTAAATATAAAATAATAACAATAATATTTTTTAAAATTTTACATTGATAAATATATATTATTATTTATTTATTTTTTCTTTCTCTTCTAAATCGGTTGACATGCCGTAACAGTGTAACGATATTCACGGTCTTTGCATTCGCCTATACTTCAGTATAGGAGTAGATACTTTGGTCAGTGTTCTATATAGTTAATGGAATGAATCGCATTTATGCACGATTAATCCAATGTCACACGATAATCCTATGTGGAGAGTCTGTGTCGATTTCCTTCATTCCAACCAAACCTATTGTGTTACTTGTAATTACTATCCACTAGTTCCCTCTAAGTGTTATTCAACTGCCATTGATCCGATCTCTATCGGATTCGATAGAGAAAGTTCACATTGATAGAATAAATAGGACTTAAATATATACTTTTATATGTTTTAAGCATCGTATAATGAGCAAATTAAAGCAGGTGGAGGTTCTAAATATTCAATTTGTTTATAGGACAATCAACTACCGAATAAATTTCCAGTCATGGTTTTAGATCTTCGAGGAGTCGTGAACGATCGGTTGTGGAAAAGAATTAATCTGTATAATTTTTCTTTGAATTCGTAATTTTATATCACATAAGACTTTTAAAAACATAAAAACAATCGAAATAAAATATTTAAAAGTGTGATATTTGGTATTATTTACTTGCTTAATATGTCAAATATTCTCATCTTTAAAATTTTTTTTGTGTTAATTATATGCAAAATTACTATGTCATCTATTTATATTTGACAATCAAAGAAATGGAATTTGAGAAAATCATCCTGGAAATAACATTGATAGAACCACGACCATATCTAATTAAACTTGTTAAGAGTTTACTTCGGTAGTATGAATACTAAACAAGAATTTAGGATAAGATTACACGTAAAAAATAATATTATATTAGGTCAAAATTCTATTTAAAAAAAAAAAAACATAGACCTAATTTTAAACATCGTGCCGAATTCACGTGCAAAAACTTGTACCGTCAAGTAGCAATTACCATAAATGTAAAATTCAAATATTTTACACGACAAAATCCCTTAAATTTGATCTTCATCGTCTCTATTTTTGTGTTTACTCTATCCATTTCCCTCCTCTATCGACCATCTTTAACTTTTCGCATATGTGACCTTCTTTCTCCTCATCTAACATCATCCATCTTTGCCTTCGTTACCTCTCAGTCAATTTGCACATTATCATCAGTATATTAAGTCGGAAGATATTAATTAACTCAGTAAATTTAAAGAAAAGTTAAGTAACCTGTTATGTGGTCTCACTTCTAAGGAGTTAATACTCAAATGTGGGCTTTAATATAAAATAAAATCCAGCAACGAGTTGCTTTTTATACTTTTAACTATTATAAAGTAGCAAAAAGCTTAATTTTGAGGTTAGGGATGGGTTTTATAAAAAATTGTAAATGCTAATAACGGGTAAATCGTCATTAAGTCTGATCCTACTGGAGATATAAACGACCCCTTTATCTCCACACCCTCTCCATCTTTAACCATTAAAATTTAATAACATCGATCCCCCTAATAAACAAACTTCCCTGCAAAATTTCAGAAATTTTCGACAAAAAGACACTAGAATTAAGCTTCAAAGAGGGTGAACAAAATCGTGCCTTCACATACACTAACATCTATACATACAGAAAAAAAAACACTCTAATTATTTGAATTTCTCGACGTTTCAAGGTCCCCGAGTACAAAAAATGTAAAAATTTTGGGGGGCCATACTTTCCCTCTATTATATATAACATCCGGAGAAGTAAAATTATTTTTATGTTCGAAATTTTATTCCAATTTTTTGTATTAGTTCTCCATAAATTTCGATAAAAATTTTAAAATTATAAACATTCCTATGTTCAGAAAATAGCATATTTATTATATATTTCTATTTAAAAAAGTTATTTGTGCTGTATATTAATGCTTCGTGAATGTAGTATCATTCTCCTCGAAATTCTCTCGATAGCATCTTAACTACTGTACGTTGTGTCAACATTTAAATAATTTATTGATCCTCCTCTTAAGAATAGTACATTCATCTTGAGATAATGTCATTCCTTTAACTAAAGCACTGATCAATACTTTCATTCATACCATTAGTTCGATAATGCATGAAATTCGAATTTCTCCTTATAAGAAAATGCATACAGTCGACCCCCCTATAACACTGTTGATTATTCCGTTTTATATGAATTTCATGTTGTACGAGTCACTTATATTTTACAAATACGTGTGCCGGGCCGGGAAATTCGGATGGGATTTTTTCTGTCCTGAAATCCCGAATCCTTTCTTGTGAAAGGGAAATTACAATCCTGGACATATTCAAAATCTCACCCCCTTATTTAAAAGTTTTTTGACTCATTTGCATAACTTCATTCATCAATTATTTCGAATTCGATTGATTTCTTAGCCTTAAAAGATCATCTAATTTGCATAATAACACTGTAATTAATTAAATAATTAATTAATGCATTATAATATAATCGTTACAGAATAATAAATAAATTATTTACTTATTTATTAAGATTTTAAAATAATTTTTTTTTTTAAGTTTGAATTTAGTTGAATAGATTTTAAAATATTGCAAACTAATGATTAATTACAGTTGTAAGAAAGAATATAACCCGGAAGTATAAGTCGATGTTATTAGAGTAAAGCGATGTTGCGTGTCGTGATTGTCACGTGTTCACGTTTGCCCCAGAGAATAGGAGACGATGATAATGGAAAACACCAATACAAGACGTCATATATGTCTCATACGTCCGTTAAAATGGTTATGAAGTTCTATTTAAAATCACGGAAAAACTTTAGAAATCAAAATTTTAATTTATAAAAAAAATCAATTATAAAATTTAATTATAATAATTTTAAAATAATTACAATAAAAATAAGTAATTATAATGTATAGATAGAAAGATTTTGGGTTTTTTTAAGCGTTTAAATGATTCAAATATGGTAATTTTATATCAGTTTTGAGGCTGTAGAAAGTTAGATTTAAAAATAAAGTAGAATATTTATTTTTATTTTTAAATTTATTTAATTATATATGGTATGTATTTAATTTACATTATAATATTAATAAAATTTAAGAACAAAAATAGGAAAAAATAAAGAATTAATTTTAAAAATGATATTAAATTTTTTCTTCTTAAATTACACATTATTCGGATTATTAAAGCATCAAATATCTAAAAAAAAAAAGCAATAAGAACATTTCTTAGAAAAACGATAGGAAAATTATTTAATTTTCTTAAAAATAAATCATTTTTAAAAATAATTTTAAAAAAAGGAATGAAGATATCATTCCAAAAACCTTACGTGTACCGGATAAGCACATAAATGACGTAATTGCGGCGTATTCATTTCCGGTTCCGCTTTGCGAACGAGACCGACTTTGCACGTGGCATTTTTGTCGACGTCACGCCGACGTAATGTAGATCGCGGCAGGTGCGAGGAGGTAGTTTGACGTTCTTCTTTGTACAGATACGATGTGTGTGCGCGACGAGTGAAGCTCCGATCTCTTTACTTCTCGGCAAAACCTTTCTTTTTTTTTGGAAATGGCTTGTTCGGCTGTAACTCTATCCGTTGCCACTATAGGTGCCGTAGTGGCAGTGTCTTGTTTAGCCATAGCTTTCGGTACGGACAATTGGTACGAAATTCGCGTGAAGAGAAAGGATCTAACGGAAGAAGCTGAAGGAAATGCAGAGTTACAAGAGAAGCTTCAGTACGATATTCGTTTCTTCGATAGAGACGAAGGAATTTTTAGAATCTGTTTTCCTAACGACAAACCTAAGAAAGGTGAGTTTATTATACTAAATCACTTATTCTCCTAGATTAAATCAATTCAAGTGACGAAAAATCTATTAATTTTCAACTAGAAGAAACGTAAAACGTGTTCAAATTCTTGTTTACATATTGAATTCGTGAGCCAAATATTTTAAATTTCGTTTCAGTATAAACAGAATCGTCATTTTGAAACCCACTCAAATCTTGTAAGCTATACACTACACTAAACTTCTATACTAATAGGTCTATAGGGCTAGAAAACGTTCTGGAGAGAATATGATCCAAAGAACTAGAGGACATACAAATTGACTTTAACAATGGACAATATTTAATAATTGCGGGTTCAAAAATCATCTCGGGTCACGTATAAAGAATAGACGTTTGGAACGTAACCCGGTTTTGGCAAACAAACTCTACCACTACAATGGCCCCGTCCATTGAATAACATGTAGTGGTTATTGGTACCGTGTGCGACTAGATATAATTATAACTCTTTTCAAAACGATGCCACATCGAAGTCGAGTATCCTTATCGTAATATCGACGTTCCGATGGAGTGTTTGGAGTGGCTTCGGTATTTGCAGTCAGTGACCCTGCCAACCCCCCGAGGCACTCCGAACAAGGACACAGATTAACTACAGAAATGAGCCGTTGCTCACCGTGGGGAAAATATCCGGAAATTATCAACCACCTTTAGCAATAGGGACGAAGTAAAATTCCAATAGGAAAGCATTCATTGAAGTTTACGAAGGTTACGCTTCGAAAGTTTCAATATTGTAATTGTACTTTTATTTAACAACTGCGCAGCATTCCTCTGAGGTAACATCCGCTTTGCTTAACGTAACCGGTCGACGAAAGATATTTGTAATATTGTAGAATTAAATTTCCAACGAAATTAAAGTCGTTTAGGAATTTTTTTAATGGTAGCAAGTTCCGTACGTGGGTGGAAGAATGTTAACCATTCACATAATTCAACAATAAATAAAGACTTGGACAAGGTCGAAGTTTCGTTAGAGAGAATTTCGAAGGACTGTAATTTTAAATGCTCGAAGAAACTCATTTTTTTTAAGAAAAAAAGAAGATAAATTTAAAAGAAGGATCTTCATTTGATATATTCCCACTCCACCTTAGGGTTGTAAAGTCTTTAACGCCCATTTTCTCACTCGTCGATGAATCATGTGCTGTTTATTCTTAGACTTTAACGCCTTTAAAAACAATAAATTTACATATGGAAGGGAAGAATATAGAATTTTGAACTTATAAATTAGCATATGGACTAAGTTTTCGATTGTTAAGGGCATCGACGTTAACTCCTTGTCAAGCTTTCAATCGAAAATGTAAGCCGATAAACAATACTTATTGTTTTTGACCTCTCGATTTCCTCACTCCTATCTATTAAAAAAATCAATAGAAATAATTATTAGCATACTTTTTTTTTCGAATTCATAAGGTGCTAGTGTACTTTTTGGTATAAAGAAAAACTAAATAACAAACAAAGTAACGTTAGTAATTTATTGTTAATTTCTGCGAAGAATTCATCACGCGAGCAAAATGGGACAAGAGACTTCCATGACATCAATTGTTATAAATTGGCAAGGACATATGTAGATGAGTTGCTTTTATATCTAAACAGGTATTTTCAAATCAAAAAAGTCAAGTATTTTAATTACAGCCATTACGTGGCATATAAAAATGACACATTTATTTGCTACATACTAATTAAAAACTGTTTTATTTTTTTTCTCCAACACGTAATAAATATCTTTTTACTACGTATTGGTTAACAGATTTAACAATCTAATATTAAAACACGTTAACAATTTTATTACATGGCATTTATTGTTAAAGAAATAAAATTCTGAAGTTCCTCTCCAGTGGCGTGTTATCCTATGAGCCAAAAAAAGGGGGGGGGGAATTGCCCGGGACTTCACCAACAGGGGGGCCCAAAACTAATCTTTTACGAGGAAAAAATTCCCCGAAAAATAATATTCGAAGTCAACACTGCACATGGGGGCCTTTAATTCAAATTTGTCAAGCTATAACGCGCCACTGTTCCTCTCCAACTTTTTGTTCGCCATCTTAAACTTTAGCATAAAGATATCGTTGTATAAATCTTTTTAATTAATAAATCGGTGTTTCTTTTAGTTAATTCGGATCGTAAATTGATCCATTTTTTATTTATTAATTAAATATTTTAAATGTTTCAGTGGCTCTATACGTTTCTCCCGTGCAAACGTCTTGCATGAACATGAATTATTATTTGTCGGAAGGAAGCACAGCAAACCAAACAGACGATGCTTGGTGGGAAAGATTGCGTAAGTTTTTAAATTTAGACGGACAATATATTAAGTTATTTTGAATTTAATAAGTGATAAATGCTTAAAAACAATACAGAACTCATCGAACGATAAAAGGTCGTCGACCTTCGCTTACAACTTGTTTCATTTACATAGAAATGAAAGGAGACTCGTTTCGCTGCTGTTTTCTGATTCCCTTTCTTTGCAGACATCTCATCAATAATTCCCTTTCCCGTGTTGTTACCAGGCTACACTACAAAATACAGATATTATTTATTTAATCATATTTTTGGAATGAAAACTCGCGAATGAAAGTTTAATTTAAAAAACTAAGATAAATACTTTTATAAAGAAGTGATTGTCGATTCTGGTGTATAATTTTATTCATTATTTAGAAGTTATGCTAGGTATAGTATTAAGTATGTCAGCCTCTTTCATATTTTGTTATAAGAACTCTTCGAGATGAGATGGATGAGATCCTCATCTATGATTAAATAAATGTATTTAATATTGTTTTATCCTAATTTTCATTCGAAAAAAACAGTTAGGAATGTATATGAATGCTTTTTATTCTCCTTTTTTAGTTAAAATAATCGAAATATATCAATGTAACGACTTAACTAATTGATCACACGAACTTGTATGAGACAATGACTAAGTATGGTGTGATTAAAATGATTGAAAGAGCCAAAAAATACTTGTTTTGTTTAATAATTTTAACTAATTTCCTTTCTTTAATGATTTAATAACTTAAAATATATTAAATAAAGTGAGGGATAGTCGATGTAGTAGGTAATAGGGAGCAAAGATGATCGGATGATGATGAGAATCGATAGATCTAAGCACTTTTGTAAGGCTTATATATATATTTTTTAAAATACAAAATTCTTAAATATGTAAATGTTAATTGGAATTAAAAATAATTAACGAAGACTTCTAAAATGAGCATATTTAACTTGACGAGACGTAAGTCTACATTCTTGAATCGAGATTCATTTCCTCGTCGACGACCTTACCGAGTTGTGAGGTCGTCTTCTTGTTAACTGCATGAATAAAATTAGAAAATATTCGAATAAAACGAGTTCGAGGAAATTCCTATACTTCTAAACTATGAGTTTTCTTAATTAAATATTTAAAGAAAATTAATTTATAATTTTTATTTTAAGATTTAAGCATCTCTCTCACTTCAGTCACTTGATGTAGCCTAAATATTTTAATGAGGAATAAATGATATTCGGAGTGATTTAGGGTGGAAAATTTTGATTTTTATTAATTCAAAAGTAAATTCTAAATAAATTTATACGAAAAATAATGAATAGGTTATTTTACTTTTGCGTGTAATTTATTAAACAAGAGATAAGATCAAAATGTCTCAATTATTTCCATCAATTTTATTGATAACTTTATGATAAATTTAATGAGACAAATCATTTATTATCTTGAATTTTTTTTTCGTATAATCGAGTTAATATCGATTTTAAATTATTTTAGTTATTATAACTATGTCACAATTTGAAACAATTGATTTAGATTTGTGACATAGTTTTCTTGCCAATTATTTTTAAATGATATATTATTTCGATTTGAAAAAAAAAAATACAGAATTGGTAACTTAAGAATGACTTTTTGCATTCAATTTTAATGAGATTTTTTAAAAAAATCATGTTCAAAAATCATAAATTGCAAACGAATGGTGCAAGCAAAGGATGACAATTCTATCACTTCCAACGCACTGGCCGATCTTAATGTATTTTATTAGTGAAGTACGAAGTGGGTTATTTCTCGCTCGTTGTTTTAAGGATTGTTATTTATGCCATTCGGAGTAGAAAAAGTTTATAATGTCACCCATCGATGACTTCGACTCGTTCTTTAAGAGCCGTGTGCAGCTTATTGTTCTTTGTGCTATTCCTTGCTCGTAGATTCGACTACACTTAATTATTTGCGAAATGACCAAAATAATTACATGCTAATTACTTCACGGACTTTGATCTTGTTCAAGAGACCGTGATTCTGCTTTTTGAAATTGCTCTCTCGTGGATTTTTCCCTAGTATCGAGTATCTCACCACCTTTCGATAAATTCACTAAGTTTCTGTACGAACCGATAATCTCGATAGATAATTTAAGTGTTTTATAGATATTTTACAATGGTTTTATCATGTTTTTTTCCTAGATTAGATCATCTCCGGATCACTTAGTGATGTAGACTTCCGTTTGGATCACATAAGATACAATTAATTATAACATCACGTCTATTTATAAACCGTCTCTAAGAAGTTCTCAGGGCTGTTTTCTGAAAATGTAATAAATTACCCGGTTTGAAATGAGGTCAATATTTTAGAAAAAGGTTACAATTACGAAATATCTGTTAAAATAGCAAAGATACGTATGGAATATCGGGTGAAAAAAAAAAATAAGAAAAATTCGACCGGAAAATGGACATCGAGGTTACGTCAGTAGTGTTGACAGTCCATGTGTTACGTTATAATTAGAACGTAACGTAGAAACATACTCTTAAATTTGATAAGATAAAGAATTAAGTGCATAGGATATAAAATATTTTACGAGCCAACAAAAGAATTTTACGTCACCGTTAAGAATCGTCGAGTTAATTGGTCGATAATTCCTAGTGTGATTCCTCTATTAGACTACTCGACAAAAGGAACGAAGCAGGATGCATTCTTTTGTACAATTTGGCAAAAAAGTACGACGTTTCTGAAGACAAATTGACTATAAGCTTCGTCGATCAAGCAAGTTGGGTAGAAAACAAAAATCAGTTTTGGATGGAAAACTGGTTGAACCGTCTCCAAAGGTCAATGCTATGGAATTAATCATTAATAATTATTCACATGTTTTAGATGAATTAATTACAAGTTAAAATACATATAGTCACTTGCCAAAAGTGATTTTCTTTTTTTGTTAAAGAAGGAATCTGTAATTGAAAATTAATGGTTCCTTCTCATACTTTGATCGTTACCATTCTAAACACGGTTGTAGTTTCTATCGTTTTATAAATTTTTAAAATAAGTTCCACTTTTTTTAGAACATTTACATTTAGATAAGAGTAAAACTTCGATATAGCGCATCTTAAATTAGTAGTATAACGAGTATAGGGCTAAACCGAAACACCTCAAGTTATAAGAATTTTTTACAATAACAAGAGGTACACACGAGTTTGAATTTTAATTTGAAAGTGAGAAAAACACCGCTTACAATGCAAAATCGGATATTCTTTAACGCAATATTAAGGTTTCTCTACTTATTGATAATAATTATAGGAAAGATCAGCCTCACTTTACCAGGATGGCACTATTCAGGAGGCCGCTATATCGAGGTTTAACAAATGTGATGACATTTTTAGAATGTCGTTAGAAAATATAAAAAATAAATGATGCTTTAATATTACACAGAAATCTTCTGTTATGGCTTAGAATTTGATATGTTTGATCAATGATACAGAAAATTTTGATTCCCTCCCCTAACACAGGAAAGTTTTTTTTTCAGTGGCCTTGACTTTCTAAATTTAATTGATGAAAGTAATTCATGCTTGGAGTTTATATATATATATATATATAAATCTGTATTGACGTGTCAATAATAATATAAAAAAAACAATACAATTACAAGAATAATTTAAAGCAGAAGGTTATATAAATAGATTATTATTAAGCTCATAGTGCATGAAATGTGTTTTATTTTTGTTTCTATATAAATATATTTTTGTTGTTGTTAATCTAGAATAACTTTTTATAATAGAAGCGGATCTAATTTAAAATTTACCACGTAATAATTATTTAAAAAAAATAGAATAATAATAATTACATTTAATTTTGTTTCTTTCAGACATGGCACGATCTGTTGTAGGACTCTTCATCTCATCATTTTTCTTTATTTTTATATCGTTCTTTACTGGTATTGCCGGTTGTTGGAAGAGATCTCGAGGAAATGTAGTCGCTACCGGTTTGCTTCTTCTTTTAGCTGGTAAAAATGTGATTTATTTTTGTTTTTTTTTCTTTTCTCCCTCCCTTCATATACTGTGCTTTTCAATCTGTGGATCGCGACCTACCAAAGTCCCTTAATTGTATCGTGTTAAAATCGGAGGTTGGGAAACTCTAATTATGCTTTAATCATTTTTAATTTAGTTATAGCGATTATCTCGTAATAATTTATTATAATTAATTTCATAATTAGCTTTAGTGGATGCAGGAGCGATGGGATTGTGGCATGGAGTACAATATTATGATTCTAAAGTACTGAAAACGGGCGAAACTTCTTATGAAAATTGGCCAAAGGTACATATATATATATGCTTTTAAAATTAAAATACAATAAATGTATTAATAATAATCTCTATATATATATATATTAAAATCGATGTATAAATGTAAGAATTTAGTATTAAAAACTTAAAAATCTAACTTTAAAGTGATTCCAGACAGAATAAGATCCCAATTCTATCGAATGTATCGACCATGGAAGGGGGATAAAGTTCAAAGTTAAACTGCTTTAAGAGCAGACAGACACGACAAGTTGCTTAAGTAGTAGTTAGTATAGTAGACGTAGGCTTATGCCAAAAAAACATGGGTTCTATTCTGTTTCGTCTACATAACTTGAAATTTTAAGGCTAGATTCATCATTTATATGACGGGGTTGATGTTATTTGTGATCTAACAATACAATAATTTTATACTAAAGATTAAAAAGACTTTGTTTAGCAGAAGATAAAATAAGATTTTAATGATAAAATACGATATTTCTAAATATATGTATAATACAAAGGCATATAGTACAATGTGTTACGCTCCATCTGATTGGGAGAAAGGAAAATTTGAAAACAATCGAGGAAAAATTATCATGTTGATAAATCGATTACAATAGGGAAATAATTTCAGACAATTATTAAGTTTTTCTATATTTAAAATACATAAATTTACTCAAAAAAATGTAAATATTTAATTTAATATTCGAAAAATTGCTGAAGTTTTTCGTGAATTCTTAATTTCACACGAATTTTAATCGTATAAAATTTAGTTCAGGATCTGCAAATTTGATAATAAAAAAAATAACGCATTCCAACTCAGTTACACTAATTTATATTAATTTTAATCAATTATTATAAGTTAGACTTTTAAAAAAAATTGTATAAATTATACAATATGTAATATTATATAAAGGGTGGATCAAAAATCAGTTAACTGTTCTAAAGACTAAATTGTTGTCTTATTCAAATACTTAATAGTTACTTTTCATCAAGTACAGATGTACTGTACTTGTAACACACAAAACTAAACACGGGTATTGACTTTCGTGTCGTCCTGTAGTTCGTACTGTACTGTACTATACTACACCTTATATAAATTAATAAACAATTATTTGTTTAAAAAAAATACCACTCGATAAGAACAAGATCAGTTAACGTATCATTTGTGATGATTAATATTGTAACTCGATACGACGAATTGTTTAGTACGTCTATAGATACGTCTACAGATAGTATTGTTTCGACATTGTTAATTCGTGTTTTTTTTTTATGTATTTATATAGGAACTGAAGGGAATGACAGACTTTTATTTCGGTTGGTCCTATATACTAGCGTGGATAGGAGTGGGGATGAGTCTCCTGACGGGCATTCTCTTCTTGTGTGCAGCTCGTTGCTTACGTCAAGAAAAGAAAATCGAACAAGCCAAGAATATGCAGTACTTAATGCCCGTTTATCCCGATAAAAGACAACCCTACGGATACAGTTACGCTCATCCTTATTATCCTCCAGGAACGCAATACAGCTCCTACGGTTATTAATTCTTCCATATAAAAAACATAGGAGAGACGAGAAATTCGCGTGTATATATAGTCTTACTAATGTTTAATCAGTTTTTATTTTATAAAATAACAACGTGAAAAAAAAGAGACGTCGTTTGTGTTCTTCGAAATTATTTAAATTAGTGCTTTATAAAAACCTAAGCCAAGTGAATTATTTAATAGTTTTTTTTTATGGGTGATAGTATATATATATATATGTATATGTATATTTTTTTTAAATTTATGTGAGTAAAACTCTGCGTGTTTTTGCTCTGTAAACAATTGAAACTAGTTGGGACAACGAAATTCCGAGGTCATTGACATGGCTGTGCCAAGTTGTTCTACAGGATATCATTAGGTCAACCGAAACAGTATATTCGTCAACGTATATCAATCTTATAAAACGATATTAAATAATTGATAATTCCATTATGTTATTTTGTAAATTTGAATTAAGTTTCGTCGGAGTGATAGTCCAGTAATTATTTTTTAAATTCGTGTCTTATTATTTTTTTTATAAATTAAATCTTGCCATTAATAGTTTAATATGTAGAAAATATATTTAAATAAATGTTTTTAAATGTTTAATTAACTACTGGAATTTAATTTAATATACGATTTAAAAGGTATATATAGCCTAATTTTTAATGCAACCCACAATTGTCGGAATATTAAGCAATCATTGGATACATCTGTACGCATCTCTGGCATACAAATTCGCTTGCACAGTTTGTATGCCAGAGGTGTATCCGGGGCAGGCTGTGTCCCTGGTATGCAAATTAATTAAAGATGGGTAAGGTGTGTAGCGAGATTGAGGATGAGAGGTGGACTAAACCGGTGACGGAATGACGACCTTTGGTTGATAAAAGAAGAGGAGGAAGAACGATAAGCGGACTTACAGATGAATCGAAGCTCGCAATGGCCAACAAACCAATCTTTTATAAGACAATATCCCCTAAAAATTCTCCCGAAAGTAAATGTTCCGAAGTCATCACTACACGTGGGGCCTCCTAATTCAAATTTCCCTAGGCCCCATGAAGCTATAACGCGCCACCGGAGATTCGTTCAAAAAACAATCGAATTTAGTGGAACAAAAAGTGTTCGGGGATGACCACGCTTCTACTATATCACTCGATATTAAATGTAACGATTTTCTACTTCAAAAATTTAATTAATACCATTAAAAATTTCTACATACTTTATTATATTTGTCACGTTTTAAATTAATATCCATTGTCGTGTCATTAATAACATATTCTATACCCTCTACCGCATTTATTGAATATTTGAAAGAATATCCTCATTTAAAATATTTCTTTTTATAAATTTATTCTGGAATAAAATTGTTATCTGCATATTTCTGCGCTGATTAATACAAGAGTTACGGAGTGTGACAGACAAAAAGACGTACGAAAAATTAAATTTAGGTAATATGTCATTGCGTAATAAATTCTTTACGTGTTATTTCTGTATCAAACACAAAGACACAATTACTCACGCGATTATTTTTATAAAATAGAGAAAATAAAGTGGTTTAAAACACTTCACCAGCCTTATACTTTAATGATAAATTCAATACGGTATTTATTTATTTATTTATTTTTGAATTACTCATTGATAAAGCCATCAATGAAATTGTAATGTATGACACGATTCGATAATAATACTTCTGACATTTTTTTTTTTTTTTAAAAAAAAAGTATGACCTAGTTTCAGAATTGCTGATGTTTTCCATGTACACGAGCCTACAGGCGATCGTTAAATCGAATTATTTTTGCAATTCTGTGATTAAAATCCTTCGAATTATATAACTTAATATAGAAATAAAGATATTTTATAATACAGTAATATAATTTATAAATCTACAATTTTTTTCTTGTCATCACTCCTCTTGGTGTTGTGATTGTAAGCGTAATTAGGATACATTCATAAAGGAGTTAAATGAATGTTTACTAAGTCAGCCATAAAGTATCAGTAAAGTAACAGTGATATTTACTATAGAATACTGATCTATAGTAACTTATTTTAATTACATATAATATAAATATATGACGTGGCTCTCCAGTGGGCATTACAATAGAGGTTTTGACTCTCGTGTATTTCTAATAAGCAGGGATATGACTCCTGTCATGACAAAGGTTTGGCCTCTCCTGTTATAAAAGGAAAGTCAAAGTATAAGATATCTGCCCGATAAAAATGATGCAGGGAATGTTGCTATGTTGTATCAATTGAATTATCTTTCTCTACTTTCGATTACGTCGGTGGACTGAACTATTTGACCAGCTAATATTTAATTTGAATAATAGAATAATCATAGTTTACATGCTATCGTTCCACGTGTTGTTTATGATATCGTTATGAAAACAGCCTTCCTGTTGGTCTAAATGCCTCTTTCGACACCAGAAAAGCCTGGAATAATGGCTAATATTTCGGCACATTCCGAATTATCTTGAATCACTCCAATATAGTTAAATTGTGATGTCATACACAATTTAATTTAATATATTTATTATGATTAATAATATAAAAGTTATTTTTTAAGTAAAGTCTTATAACAGCCGTGAAAGTTATATATAGCCTATATACATTTTAAAAAGCTTTTTGTCTCTATTAGTACGCTTCTTGCTGTATTTGATAGATGAAAGTCAGGACCAGATATGGAGCAAGCTTAGGGGCAGGAAGTTTCGAGGTCTACACCGGAAATTGCGTTGTTTCAATTCAAAAATTCTCCCTTGAAAGGTGTTAGATAGACGACCGGCACGACTTTATTGTTAAAGGAAAAGTATGATATACAGGGGCAAACCACTACTAATTTGAGGTGGAGAGCATATATTTGAAATTAAATAAATTAAAAATATGATTAAAAATTTCATTCCGGCATTTTGACCATGTCACAATACATAATTTCAGTCACAATTTCTGCCAGTAGAGATGATGTTTAGAGAATAAAATCAATACCTGGCATCACAATAGTGATTGGCAAAAAGAGTAAAATGTGCAGAGGTAGAAGTGAGCTTCAAAGAGGACCGAGCAAGCCTATTGCATTATATATTAGCTCCACTAATGACATAAATTTTAAATAAAATTTGTATAAAATATTACTACTGCAAAAAGTCCAACGTCATTCTGATTATTTCTGTGAAAATTCTACACATTAAATAATTAACTTCATAAATATTAAAATAGAGAATCCTGGAGTATGTGCGAATTACTAAATATAACGAACGACATCGTTATGAGCAAATCACGTTATTTCCAAATTCTCGTGCATACACCTCGTTCATCGCCACACTACACTTAACGACACTTCATAGACGAACAAATGATAGCGCTAAATTGAAATTTGACGGTATATAATTAATATTTAGAAGTTAATATAGAGTTTCGAAAAGATAAATGCACCGATACTTGCCCTCTAAGAACATATTATTTTGCATTAAATATTTAGTCACTAAATATCTTTTATATTCAATATTAAGCATTTTAAATTATTATTTAATGAAGACATTTAAAAAAAATTAGTAAATTATATCAAATTAATTTAAAATATAGAAAAAATTGCCAATCATCTGCTTACAACAGTGTCTTATCTCACGCGGTTTGAAACGTGGTCGTGATATTTAAATTACTGTAAATCACGCAATGTAACTTTTCACATCTTTGTTATATGCAAAACAACAAAACAATTTCCACTTTCCATCATTTTTATCACATTTTTTTTATTTCCTCTAATCATTTAAATGTTCCATTTTGATATAATGTGCCATTTTGTAAACGTCCTACATCATTATTCTCCATTAAAAATAAGGTTTACAAACTTCTCCACTAGTCACGATGACTAATAAGTTAAAATATTTCACCAACATTCTTGTATAATATATATATTTTATTATGAGAATTGTGCGCTAAAAAATGATAAATTTATATTTTATATTTAGTTAAGATTTTGTGAAAAGTACGCTTAGTTTTCGGGTAATTTTTCCTCTAAAATAAACACTTCTCGAATGTCCTTAGGGAAATTTACTTAATAATTAAGGTCCCACACGAACGTTCCTAATTAAAACACCCTTACAGTGCTCTTATTCTTTAGAGTGGTCTTATATCATTGTAAAGAATGCTTTTTAAGGGGGCATTTAAGGTATTTTCTCTTGTTGAACCTCTTAAAACAATACGAAACGTGAATCGTATTTTATGTTTTTATTAAGTAAAAAAAAAAAAAACGAATATTTTGTAACATTTGGAGTATAAATAATGCTTAATATAGCAATATAATTTATTACTCTTGATATATTACATGCGTTACTTAAGTATAATATATATTAAACAGTAAATAAAAAAATATTTTAAAAATATATGTGTATTCTCACACACAAAAGTATATATATATATGCATACTTAATTATATAATACGATATATCAAGGGCGAATGTAGGTGTCATCCTTGGAGGGTATCAGAAAATAAGGTGTATGCTTGATATTTTAAAAA